AGGATTACTTCATAAGGCCCAAACAGGCTGGGTACACAGATAGACAAAAGACATACATTCAAGCAAGACTTCTTTGTGCTTTCTTACATTTGCAACAACCTTATTAAGAGCAGGAACATTTGCTTCTACTCTCAAAAGAATGAGTGTCTCAAGATGTATGAGAACTGCTTTCAGTCCTCTTTCTCAGAGCACCTCATGATAGCTGCTTGCAATCTTCCTTCTGAAGACACCTCTATGTGCAAGACAGACAGCCACGTCCCCAAGATACAGCACCTTACATTCTATTGCCCCTTACACTGCCTCTCGGCCACCAGAGTCTCCAGACTGACATCATTGCTCTTCAGTACTTTGGTAATGAGGTTCCTACCAGCAGACTTTCCCAATGCAATTCGTCTTTTAACTTCATGGCTGCTGTTGCCAAAAGTGTTGATTATGGAGCCAAATGAACTGAAGCTGTTTACAATTTCAATCTCTTCACCATCCATCACGATGCTGCCAAAGATTCTCACCACTGGGGTTTTTTGTGGTGTTTTGGTTTGTTGTTTTATTTAAGTTCATAAGAATTTTTTTTCCTTTTACTATTTTGTTTGTGTGTACTGTCAAATTGGATCTGACTGTCACAGGAGGAGATTACCCCTCCTTCTCCAGCAGAGCATCTGGTGGATTTGAACCATACACTTCTGGGATTGTACTAGGATTTTCTTTCTTTCTTTCTGATTTTATTTTTTTACATTTTTTATTATTATTATTTATGTGTGTACCATCAAATCGGATCTGACTGCTACAAGAGGCGATTGTTCCTCCTCCTTCAGCAGAGCATCTGGTGAGGATTCTATTTTTAAAAGGTCCTATTAATCTATTCATCCTGTCCTGGTTGTAGGATTTTGGTTATGCTTGGAAGTCTATTCATACCATGGATTAGAGCTTCTAGACTTGTTCCTAGTTTTTCCTCTAATAAATGTTAGAGACTTTTGTTTCATTCCTAGGACCCTGATCTACCTTGGGTTGATTCTTATGTGTGCTGTGAGATGTGGGTCTTGCTTCAGTTTTCTGCAGACAGTTGTGGAATTTGGCTAGCACCATATGTCTTGAGAAGCTGTCATTTCCTCATTTAATTGATTTCATTTTCTTGTCAAAGATTAGTTGACAATAGGTAGATGGGTTGATTTCTGGGTTCTTGATTCTATTCCATTGATCCACGTGTCTGTCACTGCACTAGTCCCATGCTGTCTTCATAACTGTGACTGTGTAGTAGGTTCTGAGTCAGGAAATACGTTGCCTTCTACCTTGCTTTTCTCTTTAGTAGTGCTTTGTATGAATATTGATAATATCTTGTCACCTCCAACATTGTACATCACGATGTTGTTATTGTTGTTGTTAGATGCCGTAGTGTCACCTGCAACTCATCACGACCCCATGTACAACAGCTCTGAATTCTGTTGTATTCTGAGCCAGTCTTACTGAGTCCTACACACCTCGTCCCATTGCCCCAGTTATCATGTCAATCCATTTCATCCAAGGTCACCCTCTCATGCGCTGCCCCTCCACCCTTCGGAGAATGATATTCTTCTCCAAAGACTGGTCCCTCCTGGCCGCATGGCCAAAGTTTGTGAAACAGAGTTTCAAAATCCTACCCTCTAAGGAGAAACTTGGTTTCACCCTCTCCGAGGCATAACTTTTTGTTCTCCTGGTGATCCATGGTATTATGTTCAGTAGTGTTCTTGAGTACCACAACTCAAAGGCATCAATTCTTCTCCTGTCATTCTTGTCCAGCTCTCCCAGTTATTGTCCAGCTCTCTGGTGCATGGCATGTAATTGCAAAGACCATGGTGCACCTTAGTATCAATATTGACTTTATTACTCCTCAGCACTTGGGAGAGGTCTCTGACAGCAGACTTCCCTGATACAATCCCAAAGGCATGTTGTGGAAATCCACCAGAGCTCTGCTGGTCTAGTGGTAAGAAACTGCAGTGAAATCCAAAGACAGTGGGGTTTGAATCTATGAGCTGCTCCACGGGAGAAGTATGGACAACCTCTTCCCATTGGATTTACAGTCTAGGAAAATCCACTGGAGGGTCAGCTATGGGTCATTTCCAACACAAAGGCCCACAACAACAATCATTTATATCCAGGAGCCCTGCTTGTGTATATATCTATTTTGAGCTACAAAATGAATGGTTAGCCATTTACATCTGCTTCAGTGGAGGAAAAAAAGGGACAACTTAGTAAAAATTTCATGTTTCAGAAATCTGTTGTTGTTGTTGTTGTTGTTGTGCGCTGTCAAGTCAGAACCAATCCATAGCTGACCCTCCCGTGGGTTCTCAGAGGCAGTTAATCCAATGGGAGGAAGTTGCCCATCCTTTGGGGAGCAGCTGGTGGGTTTGAACCTTGTGTCTTTGGAATTGCACTCCAGCTTCTTATGAATAGGCCACCAGAATCTCCTTTGTGCAACAGATTGTTGTTGTTGGTGGTGGTGGTGGTGTTGTGTACCGTTGGGTTGGAACCAACTCATAGCTGACCTTCCAGCAGGTTTTCAGAGGCAATCACACGGGAGGAGATTTTGAACCTCATACCTTCATGATTGCAGTGCAGCTTTTTGCCACCAGGCCACCAAAGCAGTGTTTTACACTCTGTTATGCATGGGGTCATTATGTCATTGGAATCACTCAGTGATACTAACAACAACATAATCTTTATTAAATTCTAAAAATTTTATTGTACTACTTTACTAAGAAAATGTGTGCATAGGTTGGTGTTGTTATGTGCCATCTAATCGCCTGCAACTCATAGTGACTTTATGTACAACAACCCTACACCCTGCTCTATCCTGTGCCAGTCTCACTGCCTCCGACACACCTACCCCCATTACCCCAGTAACTGAATCAATCCATCTCTTCTCATTGAGGGTCTTCCTTTCCTGCACGGTCCCTCCACCCTCCATGCATGACATCCCTTTCCAAGGACTGAACCCTTCTTGCAACATGTCCAAATGATGTCAGACAAAGCTTCAGAATCCCTACCTCCAAGGAGCAGCCTGGTTTCATCCTCTCAAGGATAAACCTGTTTGTTCTCCTAGCAGTCCATGGTATATTCAATACTCTTCTCCAGCAACACAGCTCAAAAGCATCAATTCTTCTATCATCCCTAGTCACTGTCCAACTCTCTGCACAGTAAGTGATTGCAAAGACCATGGCCTGTATCAGGCACACTGGAGTCTCCATGCTGACATCATTCTGTGCATAAGAAGGTGAATCTAAAAAGCATATTTTCATTATGGAGACAATCCTACAGTGTTTTTCTCCTTTAAGCCATCATTAATGAAGTATGTTGACTGACTTCCCCCCTGATGTTTAGCTTTACTTAGAGTCACAGAACACACCCCATGTGATCATGACACACTGCGCTCAGTTATCTCATATTTTCTATTATTTCCTTTACTGCCATAAGTAAAGTTGATCTATAGGGGGGTTTGCTGATATTTTTTTTATCTGACTCAAAAATCAATATTTCCTTAGCTTCATAAAATGATCTCAGAAGCTTTTGCTTTTTTTCCTCATTTCCTATCACTCCTTTAATATTTGGTAGAAATTATTTGGAAAATTATCTAAGCCTAGAGTATTTTGAAGGACGAGAATATCCACTCTCTTTTCAATTTCCTTTGTATTTTGAGTTCTGTGTCTTATGTCCTGGACCACCTTGTTTAGAAATCAAATCCTCTGCTTTTCATAAGTCAATTCCTAAACCCCTTTCTTCCTCCCTTCAAGATGTCTATGTGTATATCATACACTATGTTATTGCTATTGGGACTATTTCCATGCTTCTCCATCAATGGACAAACTAAAGTCATAGATATGTAATCTGCATGCTATTTGTAACTCTGTTTTACCTAAAATGGAAAATACATCCAAGGCCCTCAGACTTGTTTTTCATTGTTTTTGGTGAAACATTCTTCTAGGTCTTACAGCCCTGGTGGGTCCACTTGCCATACAGGGGTAATTCGTGCTTGCTGTGAAGCTGAACACTGTGACACTGATATGTCAAATGCGAGAGTGCTTAGCCATGGTGGATAGTGTTTGGTGGAGCTCCCCTAATAAAACAAGCTTGGAAGCAGGAGTGGCCATCCACTTCCTTAATAGCTTGCCTCTGGAAACCCTGCGAACCTGGACAAAGGATGAAAGTTATACAAGTGTCCAGGTCTTTCATTCACACGGTCGCTGTAAATTTCCTATGACTCAATGGCACTTAACAACAACAACAGTTTGCAAAACTAGACAGGGAGCTCCGGTGGCCTAGTGGCAAGAAGCTTCACTGCTATCCCAAAGGCATGTGTTTCAAAACCCCCAGCTGTTCCACAGGAGAAGGATGGGCAATCTCCTCCTGTGCAATTAACTGCTTCTGAAAACCCATCAGAGGATCAGCTATGGGTCGGTTCTGACTCTAAACAACAAGATAGCATATACTGCCATTGTCTCTGCCCCTCACTTTTTCCTTTTGAATATAAAGAGAAAATTTAAATGTCTGTACATAGATAGATCATGCTTTGTACAAACACTGTTTTTACCATCAAACCACCTACCTCTTCTATGCAAGCATCTGCCTCTTCACCACACAAATTAATATCATTATTCATTCAAACAGAGAGAGCTCATTATCCAGTGGTCTATTCAGACCTCTCACTCATCCGTGAGTCTCAATCTTACTCCTAACGTGCCTCTTCAGCAAACTCATATTAGGAAGCCATTAGTGGTCAGATATAGGAGGTGTTTTAATGAAAGGAACGGCCTTGACTGGGGAATCCCAATCCCATGTTAGCTGTGGGACTTTGGAAAAGCTGTCTAACCCTTTTGAGACTCAGTTTATCATCTGTAACATGAAGCCAGTGGCATCTAAAGAGCCGATGAGAGGATGCGTGTAGTGTCCGGTAGACAGTCGGAGCCGGCTTCCTGGAAATTTCTATGTCTTCCATGACTGGTCCCACAGTTCTTTGTTTCTGATTACAGGTGATTACGCCCGATGGACGTGGCAAGAACCGAGCTAAGTGGGGTCTGCTGAAGAACATCCAGGCTGCCCTCCAAAAACACTTCTGAATCCCTCCCAGAGCAAGTAACAGCCTCTCAGAGACACACACAAAACAGAGATATGGAGACACACACACTTATTTTTCCCACCACACTTTTCAGTGAGATTGTAGATGAATATTCCTTGAGACCTCTGAACCATTCCAAGAGAAGTCTTCTAAGAGTGAATAAAAAAAAATGCTGGGCTCTTGTGGATTGCATTTTTGTTAAATATAACAAGACTAAGATACAGTCACCAAGTCTATATGCTTCGTGTGCTCAGGTCTGGGAAATCAGTCGAGGGCTTGCACCAACCCTCTGGGTGGTCAAGAGAGCCCTTTACTTGCAAGGAGGGCTCTTCATTTGCATTTGGGCCCTGAATGAATTTATTGTGGGTCTGTGGACAGTTTGAAGGAGGACTCATTAGACACCAGTGTATTTTCAAATGACATAGCCCACATTATTAGAATGCTCCTCCTTCTTATTGACTTTGAATTTACCTTTCCACCACTTTACCTCATGCTCTAAATTATCCAAGGATGAGAGCAATGGCTCTTTCATCCACTCCTTCTGGACCTTTGAGTAAAGGCCAAGGCTCCTTTAGCTCTATGATTCTTTCAAGCAAGACTTGAAAAAAATGCTAGTTATGTGTCCATTCCATCCTTACTAAATTCAGCCTGGCCCCTGTTGTTGTTGTTGTGTGCCGTTGAGTCGCCTGTGACTCATAGTGACCCTGTGTACAACAGCCCTAAACTCTGCCCTATCCTGTGCCAATCTCACCATCTCCCACACAACTGCCCCCATTATTACCCCAGCCACTGAATCAATCCATCTCATCAAGGGTCTTCCCCTCCTGCGCTGTCCCTCCAACCTCCCAAGCATGACGTCTCTCTCCAAGGACTGGTCCCTCCTTGAAAGTATGTCAGATGAAGCTTCAGAATCCTTGACTCCAAGGAGCACTCCGGCTTCACTTTCTCCAGGACAAACCTGTTCGTTGTCCTAGCAGTCCATGGTATAGTCGATACTCTTCTCCAGCACCACAGCTCAAAGGCATCAATTCTCCTTCTATCATCTCTAGTCATTGTGGCCTCTAGACAGCATAAAATCCCAGATTTCTTATCTCCCAGGCTCCCACCTGCCTAGCACAACCATCCCTTAAATGCAACTTTATTTCTGCCTTGACATATCTACTCATTTTTCAAGGCTTGGGGCAACCATTTTGCCTGAGAAGTCTTGGCTACCTCTCCATATGAGGATGATGATATTTCACTCCTCCTCTAGGTCCCCACCAAACAGGGGCACCTTTCCTCACCTCTGCTTCCCAGAGGGGTATTCCATCTTGAGACACTTTAGAGCTTGTATTGATTCTCAGACTCTAGGGCTGAGAAGGCATCTCATTCTCCTTTGTACCCTCTGAGCCTGACACCAAGAGGCGTGTATTGGCGAGCTCTGGTGGCCTCATGGCAAGAAGCTGCACTGCAATTCCTGAGGTGCACGGTTCGAGTCCACCAAATGCTCTGCTGGAGAAGGAGGTACAATCTCCTCCTGTACCAGTCAGATCTTATTTGATGGTACAAATACAAATAATAATTTTTTTTTAAAAAAAGAGGCATGTATATGTATTACATTTTAGTAGGAAGTAAAGAACTGCTACCATACTTAAGAGTAGGTACTGATGGGGACAGGCAGTCACTGGCCTGCATCTCCTTTAATTCTGCCCTTTTATGAGTGAGTAACTGCTCAGTGACTTCGCTTTTCGCAGAAATCAGTGTCAGTCAGAAAAGACTCATTCCCCGTGATTGACCCCAAGTGAAGATCTTCTCACAATCTGAGAAAACAAAGCTAAAAAGATTCCTGACTCTCTTCCCAACGTATTGTAAGGAGGGATACTCCCAGAGAGCTTCATTATGATTCCATTACCATAAATGACGGCTTGGTTCCACCGGCAGATTTGCTATTACCATATAATCATTTCGGTAATGGGCTTTGGAATAATCATTAACATGAGGATACAATTAAATGACACGCCGGCAGGGATTTTATTACCGATAAGCTGAAATATAAAACTTTTAAAAAAATAGAGCTATAGGACTAGTGTGTGATCTCTAATGGCAAGAAGCTGCACTGCAGTCCCAAAGGCATGTGGTTCGAATACACCCACTGTTCCATGGGAGAAGGATGGGCATTCTCCTTCCACATGATTAAATGCCTCTGAAAACTGACCAAAGGGTCAGCTATGGGTCGGTATCCAGTCATACAGCCTGGAAAGTTCCTTTCACGACAACATGACTAGTACATGACAAGAGCTCACTACTCCACTCTGCTCCAGCACCACAGCTCAAAGGCATCAACTCTTCTCTTCACCCTAGTCATTGCCCAGCTCTTTGACACAAAGCAAAGTGATTGCAAAGACCATGGCCTATATCAGGCACACCTTAGTCTCCAGAGTGACACCATTGCTCTTCAGTACCCTGGAGAGGTCCCTAACAGCAGACTTTCATGTACATATGTTTGTATACCTTTCTAAAACTTTTAAGTACTCTGACCTTGTAATGTGCTTTCACATGCACCACTGCAATTGAATCAAGGTCCAAATAAGACAATCAGAATTAAGTGAGCTACAGCACCCTAATTTCTCTTTTATAGAAAGCACAGGAACTTTGAGTCAATGACCAAGACAGTTTGCTGAGTATTCCAAGAAGCCTGCTTAATAAGTACCTGAGCCATTCTGCTGGATGAAAGGAATTTCTTAATGCTTAGAGCCTTCTGCCCATTCAATGATCCCCAGAGTTATGACTCATGGAGAGTTCCCTGCCCTCGAAGATTCTCAGAGACGTTAAAAATGGACCAGGAGGCACCAGTTCTAATACAAGCTCTTTATTGGCATGCTGTATGACGTGGAACCAGTTCTTCCTATGTTATGGTACTGGCTTCATTTGCCTGTCTATACAATGATAAGATGTGCTTAGAGAGGGGATCGTCAATAGAATAGCTCCCTTAGGGATGGTTCAAATGCAGTGGTGCATGTAAAAGCATGTTACAGGTCAAAATATTTAAAAGCTTCAAGTTTTATAAAGGGGGGTGGTGTATACAAACATATGTACATGAAAATCTGCTGTTGGGGACCTCTCCAGGGTGTTGAAGAGCAATGGTGTCACTCTGGAGACTAAGGTGCACCTGATGCAGGCCATGGTCTTTGCAATCACTTGCTATGCGTCAGAGAGTTGGGCAATGGCTAGGGAGGATAGAAGAGGAATTGATGCCTTTGAGCTGTGGTGCTGGAGAAGAGTATTGAGGGTACCATGGACTGCCAAGAAAACAAAGAGATTCATCCTGGAGAGGGTTAAACGAGGCTGCTTCTTGGAAGAAAGGATTCTAAGACTTCATCTGACATACTTTGGACACGTTGTAAGGAGGGACAGGTCCTTGGAGAGGGACATCATGCTTGGGAGGGTGGAGGGACAGTGCAGGAGGGGAAGACCCTCTATGAGGTGGATTGATTCAGTGACTGGGGTAATCAGGGTGAGTGTGCCGGAGACAGTGCGATTGGCACAAGACAGAACAAGATTTAGGGCTGTTGTACATAGGGTTGCTATGAGTGGCAACAACTCGACAGCAGTAGTGAGGTGCCATCACCTACGACATATTTTACGAACAACAGATCTGAACCTTGCCCCGTCCTGAGCCATCATCACCGTCTCTGACATGATGAAGTCCACTGTTAAAATCACTGTGTCAGTTCATCTCATTGAGAGTCTTCCTCTCTTGCTCTGAATCTCCATTTCCCCCCAACAGTTGTCTGTTTCTTTGCCCCTCTTGATCACATGTGAGATGAAGGTTCAACATCCTGGCCTTTAATGAGCACCCTGGTTTCACTTCCTCCAAGACAAATCTGCAATCCATGGTACATTAAATACAACTCAAAGGTATTGATTCTCTTCTGCTCTGCCTTATTCAGTGTTCAACTTTCAGATACATACAAAGCAGTGAAAATGCTTTATCTTGCTCCTTAGTCTTTACAGTTATGCCCTTACTCTTTAGTACATTGACAGTAGATTTTCCTTTTTTTATCTTTTGACTGCTGCTACCATGCATTTTGATTGTGGATCCAAATACAATGAGATCATTGACAACTTCAGTCTTTTCTCCATTGGTCATTATGTTGACTATTAATCCAAAGGTGAGGATAACTGTGTTGTTGAGGTGTAACCCATACTGAATGGCTATTGTCTTTGATCTTCTTCACGAAGGGCTTCATTTCTTCTTCACTTTCTGCAAGCAACATCAAGTCATCTGCATAAAATAGGTTCTTAATGAATCTTCTTCCAATGCTAATGCTATGTTCTTCATTTAATCCAGCTTCTCAAATGATTTACTCAGCAAACAAACTGAATAGTTATGGAAAAAGAAAATAACCCCAATGAACAGCTTTCCTGGTTATAAACCATGCAGTGTTGTTTTGACAACTGCTTAAGGTCAACATGAGCACAATTAAGTGTTCTGGAATTCCCATTTTTCTCAGTATTACCCATAATTTGCTATAATCCACACAGTCAAATAAATGTCTTTGCATAATCAATAAAACACAGGTCAGCATCTCTCAGGTTTCTCTGCTAGCAGCCGACATCCATCTGACATCAGCAATGATATACTTAATTTCACAGCCTCTTCTGAACAAAGGCAGAATTTCTGGCAGTTCGTTGTCAATGCACTGTTTCTGCCATATTTTTCATAATCAGCAAAATTTTACTTGCATTTGATATTAACGATATTGTTCTATAATTTCCACATTCTATTAGATCATCTTTTTTATCTTTCCAACAGGGAAAAAATATGGATCTCTTCTACACATTGACAAAGTAACTATCTGTCAAATATTTTCCTTTTTTTATTCATTTTAATGAAAGTTTACAGAGACTTAGGGTTTCCAGTCACTCATTGTTGCACTTTTCTCCCTGCCCACCCCCTTCCCCCAGTTCACTCTTCTCCTTAAAAAGTAAAAGAAAAATCCTTTCATTGCTATGCAATCC